TCTGACACCGTTATCAGTTGGTGTGGCTATCAGTTATCTGAAGTCTCTTGGCACCACTTCACAAGATAGAAGACATCTTTTAATGACAAGGTTAACAATCGTACTATGCTACCATCCTGTTTTTATAGCTGTCACCATAAATCTGAGTTTACATTTACTGAGTTAATTTCAATTTCTGTGATGGCTTGTCAAATCTTTTAAAACCAAAAGTACAGGAAATAATGGAGAGAAGAAAATCGTAAATGTCTGAATGGCTTGACTACAGGTATTTCTAGTTCCCTTCCACAAGTTTGTTCAGCATTTAATTCACATTTGAATAGTTACCTCTATCCAATATTAGCTAATGTCTCCATACTGCTAGTCATAGCATTTAAACATAATAGTATGATTCTGTAACATAAATAATTGTTGTTCTTTCCAGAAGAATCCTAGTTAAAATTTGTCATATCTGTTTTCTTAGGATTTGGTGAAAAGTGAGAACAAGAAAAATGCAAAACTCGCTATGACTAATTCACCTTCTACAAGCAACAAGAAAAAAGTTTGGGTTTGTTCTATTTTAAAGTTAGTTTGGCCTTTTCTGTAAAGGTGGACTTGTGAAAGGAAGAAACATTCTTATGCAGCAGTATCTTATCCTTATCTATGTACTTGAATAGGATTCTTAAACACTTATGTTGTCTTCCTACTAAATTCTATAAGCTAACCAAAGAGAGTAAGTCTATATTTGCCAAGAATATGTACTAGCTGCAGTGTGCAATGATTCAAAGGGAAGAATGTGCATACTGAATAGTTATGAAGACTAGTTTAAACATGCTATTAATATATGTGATGTTTCAGGCAATGCCTTTGAAGTAAAACTAAGGTTCATGGCATCAATATGCATGGCAATTATAAAAATATTATTTTAGACCTTAGTAGTAATCTGGACAGGTTCAGAGAGTGGGTAGTAGATTTATTTTCCCCATCAGTTTCCTCCAGTTTTATTTATAACTAGAATAGCTTGTCTAATGAAATACTCTACAACTTTGAAGCTACTTTTTTTTTAAGAAACTATTTTTTTCCTATATTACTCATACCCTTAAATGTATTCTGTGAAACTTTGACAACTTTTTTCTTCTGGGCATAAAATGAGATTGTCTGCATTGCTTGCTGTGGTAGTATCATTAGTATAATGAACAGAGATGTCAGTAGTGAAGTTCAAAATGTCAGCTTGAAAATACCATTGAAGTCAAATAAAATAGAATTAAACTTGAAGACAAGTCAATTTCCAGCTTAAACAATGATCTTGTATTTCTGTACAGATGTCTACTACACAGTCGTTTAGAAAAGAATACTCCTTAAGGAGGCAAGAATCTACTTCAAGTAAAAAGTCATCTAGAAGGAAAGATGGAACACTACAAAAAATTGGAGATTTTTTCCAAAGTTCTCCTACTATTATTCACTCTAAAGGTTTGTACAGAATAAATAGGGCTTATTCTGTGTTTTCTGGGCATTGTAGAATGGCTTTTTTCCACTATAATCTGTTAATGTATATGTGGTTAAAAGACACATCTGCTGCATTAAGTTGTTCTTTTGTTTATGAAATAATGGAGTCTGACCTGGGGCCTGCTATATTGAATCTTGCAGAATAGAAAAGGCTGTCTTGATTTCAAGGACCACGTGGTTCTAAAGTTTAGGTTAAGTGTGAAAGGTAAACCAGGTAGAATGAAAGGATGCAGTGTGGAACATGTGCATATAAAGTGCAAAAAACAATGATAACCGTTAAGCTGAAAACGTTTGAGTGACTTTGTTCTTGCTTACAGTAAAACAGTTAAAGGCAATTTCAGAAACTTGCCCTACTGCTCTAAAAAATTTAAGACCTGAATCTGAAGTCCAAATCTTACTTCGTTTTATAAGCAATCCCTCTTCCCCCACTCCCTGCTTTGTTTCTCTGAAAACTGTATTAATGTTTTTTGATGTACATGTGTGGGAAGGGAAGATTAGCTCTACAGAATCTGAAAGCTGGTGTCTCATGAAAATATTTGGAAGAATTAAATAAACTGACCAGGAAGCAATTAATGGATTTTGTTAATTTTAAGCGTAGCCTTGGGAAGATTAACTGCTAGGACTTTGCATTAAAGAATATATTTTTATTCTTTCCTACAGTAAGACATGATCTCTAAGTTACTGTGGTTTTTTCTTAAAAAAAAAAAAAAATAAATATTAAAATTAGCAGAGGGCACAAGGAATCACCAGCATTAAATTCTAAAAGACACTATTTGGTTGGTTAAAACAAGGTCATTCTTTATTCTATGTGGACAGTTAAAGTTAAGATCTCTGTACCCACTTGAAAACTTGACTTGCTAGAGAGTACATCTTCCTTACCTGATGTAAGACCGTCCAGACGATGATAGTGGGATTTTTTTAAATTTTCCAGGTTTGTCAGTTTGGTTCCATGAGGACAACATATCATTATCAATGGAAGCCAAATTCAGACTACTCAAAATTTCACCCTGAAAATACTTAATTTGAGCAAATGAGTTCTAGTTCATAACCTTTATTACCATGTCCTGTGTTTTTTCCTCTTTTGCATAACTTAGTATTGTTCGGGATTTCTTCTTTCCTTCTAGTTCATAATATGTATACACTCATCTCTATATAGAGCTAGTACTAATTTGATAAAACTATACAAGTATATAGAGAAAATCAACTCTCCCCTGTGCTTCTGTCAGCACCAAGAAGTTAAGCCCGTTACTCAATTCTGGTTGAAGTGTTTAACTTCCAGTGAAATCTGAATCCTAACTGATTTTTTAATATGCTATTTAAATGTGTCCTTTAAGCTTTTGCATCTGAAGCTATAGAAAACTCTGGCAGTCAAATACCACTTCTGAATTTTTATATTTAAAGTCCAGACTGCATCTGTTTCACTTTTAAACTGCTTTTAATAAAGCTTGCTTTGTTCATTAATTTTGAGGCTTAAAAAACCAGTAAGACATTGATTTATGATAAAACTTTTCTTCTAGCAAAGAAACTGATTGCGACAATAAGCTCTCCCAAGTCTGCAGAACCAGAAAGTGTCAAAGAAAACGAGCTCAAGCCAAAAAAAGCTAAGAAAAGGCTGTATTCAACTGATATTTCTTGCCCTCTTGATATCCCTGCTTCTTCGGTAAGTGATTACAGGTTAGTGTTCCGTCCACTGTAATCTGTTTCTGCAATCTTGGCTTAAAATAAATTATTAGGGGGATGGAACAAACCTGAAGGTCTAACCAAGTTGCAGAAGAGATTTGAAAGTACTGTCTTATTTCTTGATTCTGCCTAACCACTCCTTTTGGTCTCTTTTTTTCCTGCTGTTTTACTTAATTTTCTCCATTTTCTCACCTATCTTCTCTGTTTGACTGCTGACTTACCATATAGGTGATACAGCAGTCACAGAGATATCTTTAAATTTGGGTTCATAGATATCTTAGTTGCGGTATGTAGAGGATTACTTTTTCATCTACTACAGAAGTTGAATCATAAATGAACACCAACTTCTGGAAAAACAAATTAAGTATGGCGTAAAAGGAGAAATAGAAATAGAGACCATTAAGGCATCCATAGATTTGGAATAGCACGATTGAAACACTAAAGATAAAGGTTTGCATATACAATTAACTTTCCAGAGCAAGTAAGTACCTAGGGTAATTTCCAATTCTATGTAGGCACAGCTGATACTTGGCTTACTTTAGTATGTAGATACATCCATGCCTTTCAAAGCACAGTTTAGATACCCCCCTGGGTGTGCTTAAATTATGTTGCCCTGTGTAAGCCAGCCTATAAAGAGTCTTATAGGCCAAGGCCTGTTGTATTTGTTCTGAAATCCAACTTTATGGTTTTGACAGTAACTATAATGCTGAGCATACTCTTGTTCTGTTGGAAGTACATCTCTTTATTCTGTTCAATCCTTCCTTCCCTTCGCTGTGATGACTGTTTGCCCATACTGAGATATCCTGTTGAATGTTCTGTAAATTGCATGAATGGTGTGGCAGACACCAAAATGCTGTCCATAGGAGGATGAAGAAAATAGCAGAAATGCAGAGCAAAAGAAGCTAAGAAGCTTGGAAGTGAAAAGTGAAAGACTGAATCCCAGGAAACTCAGAGAAAGCCTAAGGAATTTAGGCTAAAAATATCTTTTCTGAACACTTCCAGTTTCACAAAATAAGTATTAGAAATTAGAACTGAGAGCTACTTTCAGATTGCATTTTTCTTTGGACTTTGGTATTTGTTTCAGCAAAAATGGAATTTTGTATGTGCCCAGTATTTCTTGCTTATTATGGTGCACTAAAATGGCCTCTATCCTTGGAGTCCTCTGACTAAAAGATAATCGGCAAATTTCATTCTGAAAACAGCTATAAAAAAAACATATTGTTGATTACATGGGTCTAGAAGTGCATGTCATCTGTTTCTGAAGAAATGCTGAGTAACTCTTGAAATACTGTCTTTTCAGATCTTTATAGAACAAAAAGAGAAGGAAAGTGATCATCTAATCATCAAGCGACTACTGCGATCAAGAACAGCTAAATAATCTTGCAAAAGCATGTTTGTATTTCCTAGTTAGGGCATATTTCAATTGTATTATTTGGGTTGGTTGTATATAGGAAATAATAGATACTTAGTCGTGTTCCTAAGTCTGTATACAGATGTATAAAATTGTTCTGATGATTTCCAGTTCTGACTCCATTAAAGCTGAAATACTGTTCAAGAAAGCTTGTGTCTGAATTTTTTTTTATTTTTGTTTAGCAATGATGTCTTTGGAAGTGTTCATGATTTACCCATTGTGTGGTAAGAACTATGCCTGTGAGGAATGGTTTAAGTTGCTTTTTTCAGGTGGCCAGTTTACTTACATAACTTCGGATTGGGAAAAAAAATGAGTACACATCAAAACTTGTTTATCCTTAAATTCTTTAAAAAGATTAAAAAAAACATTCTGTGAAGGAACAAAATAAAGGAATTGGCACTATGTGGAGAAATATGGTGCTTTTCATCACTTGTGTGGTTTTAATTTGTCTTCTATTTACTCTTTATAAGCATAATATTCATTCTTTGGGGATTATAATATCCATAAATAGTTATAATTTGCTGTTAGAAGTGACCCCTTCTCAGACAGACATTTGACTTTTTATTCTAACCATCCAATTCTGCTCAACTAGAACAGCTACTTTTTATATAGTAAGGTTTCAGCTTATAATCGGTGACTGAGTAAACACTGAAAACACAGTTGATTTTTATCAATGTAGCGTTTACTTACGTCACAGGCAGTGACTGTATTTCATAGGATTTTACGCTGTTTGAAGAACAGTACTGGTTATCTTTCAGAAAGAGTTGAAATTACTTTGACAACGACCTGCTCTTGACATGGATGTAGCAAGAAAATGGCAGTAAGTGATCATCATCTACTCTAATTTCTTGCTCATGCAGTTTTCTTATTTTTATTTTCTTGGACTACTGCCAGCCATACAACATTCTTTTTATTTGGGCTACTGGATTATTTTGATTATTGCTGCATTTTGGTCTCTTTGACCCATCATATCTATAATTCTATCATATCTTTCTGTTTAAAGAGTTCCTTATAAATCTGTTTTGCACATACATAGTATTTAGCACCATAGGAAGAGTATCTTGTTTACAAGATTGCTTTTTGAGGTTTGATATTGGCCTGACCACAAAAATGTATCAGAAGTTCTCTGTCAACATCCAGTTTGAGATTTTTTTTTTAAATGTCCTCCAAGTGATACTAGTTCATCAGGAACTACCAGTTGGTCTGTAGAGGCAGTGATAGCTTGCCAGATAAGTGCTACTCATTTTTGATAGTACCGCTGCAACCTTACTGTCCTTCAGAAATGATTCCATGATTTAAGTTATAAGTAATTTTTCGTTTATTTGTTTTCTTGGACTGCTTGTCTGTATTGTGTTTTGTTTGATTGAATAAAAAAAAAAATCACTGACTGACATAAACATAAGATGAAAATTGCTTTTATTGAAAGAAAAAAGTGACTTTAAATACCTGTTGCAGTTTAGCTTTAATAACAAATGTGATACCTTAAAAATGGAAATCAATGTAAAAATAGTCATTAGTGATATGGAGGGAATAAAAAAATAACACAAGAAAGCAGTTTATTTGATACTATTATGTATAAAGAAGTTCACTTTCAGTTCTTTGGAAGTAATGGGAAATACTTTTGTGGGGGTGGTTTGGTTTTTTTTGGTTCCCCCCCCCCAGGTCAACACTGAGGCTAGCTCAGTATTGTCCTTCTTTCAGCTCCTCTGGTGGAGAACAAAGCAAAAAGGTATTTTAGGACATCATTTCCCTTTTGCCTTCTGACTTTTCCTGATAAGTACTGTGGTTAACTGAAGGCTGAGCATGAATATGTCTCCTCTTTATTTTATTCTTACCTTAGTGTAAGGTTCATCAATTAGCTTGCAGAGCAAAAGAAATTGTTTTGGTTCGTTATCAGAGGGGAGCTTAGTCCTTTAACTAGCAAAGACTAAGATAAGCACTGTTTGAAAATTGGTCTATATTTTGACATGGAGAAGACATCTGGTAATACTTAATTTGTCTTTGTTATCTTCAGAACTTATTTGGCTGTAGGAAGGTGTATCCCGACAAAGTTGTGTGATGCATCTATTGCTGTGCATCATTGGCTGAAGAGGGAAATAAGAGCTTCTATATATGAAATTGGATCATGCAGTGCTGATATCCCAAGAGAACTCAAATCCCACAAAGGAAAGTTTCCTGGGGTAGCAACAGTGACTTCTACTTGTTTTGCCTTTTGTGTTTGGTTTTTTCTCCCCAAATTTGAGTAAATCTTCTTTCTGAAACTATCTGAAATAGGACAACCTGGTTCAGTATCAATCTCTTCTATACATTGAAAACTTCTGATACTTAAAATGAAGTTTCCTTTTCCCAAGAGAATAAGCTTAGATCCTTATAACTTTAATAACAGACTTAACACCGAAGTAGTGAGGCCAAGTCTTTTGTTTTCCCACGCAAGGAAGGAAACTCTTCCGTAGTATAAAATGTTTCTATTTCTGGTGTAACACCTGAATCCTGCAAAGTGCCTTGTACGGCAATATTATTGTCTTTGAATAGTTCCTTTTGACTATGTAGAGCTGTGAGGGACAATTTTTGGAAAACGGCCTGTGCTATACTTGTGTCAAGCTGACCCAATTTTTCCAATGGTTAAGCCTCATCTTGAAAAGACTATTCCTTGCTCAACTTCAGCTGGTTTGGGTGGACAGTTTTTCTCTTGCCATCTTCATTGCACTCCAATTACAGACATAACGAAGGCTTCTGGAAAGGAAAATATGAGGACGCTGGTTCATTTAGGTCAAGCTTTTCTTTTTGGCAAAAGAAAACAAGGAGGAACAGTGGCACCATTTGACCAGGCAGCTCATGAAGTGAGGGTAAGTGTTTCTGGAGTTAAGAAAATGAGAAAAGGGAGTAGAATATTTTTGATTTTTCAGTAATAGAATGGCTTTCCGTAGATAATACAAGTCGTTGAACGTTGTTGAAACTTGATTAGTGCTGTGAGAGAGGAAAAGTTAAAATGCTTTAATAAAATATGCCTACTTGGGACTCTACAAAGCCAGTGAATCTGTCTCGCCAGCGACGGTAGCAGCCCCAGGAGATGGCGCTGAGACACTGTTTGATCTCGGGTCTCCATCCTCAGAATTCCAGATGTGAGGTGCAGGGGGACAGAAACGTTTTACTTTGTTTTAAATTAGGCCACTTTTCATTCCATTTAGCCAAGCTTCATAAAAAGTTCAGAAAGGGGCCTTGCTGAACTGTATTCTCTTGGCAAAGTCTTAGTCCTCCAGATCTTTTTCCTGCTACAATGACACTACCCAAGCACACAAGCAATCAGCATATAGCCCTGTCATATTGGATTTTGTTTCTTGCGTCGTGATTCTGAGATGAAGTGTTGGTTTATATGCACGATGTCTACTGCAATGGATGAACAGGTTACTGCACAGTAACGTTTCACAGGAGTTTATATAACTTTCTCTTTTAAAAAATATAAAGGATGCTTCCATTGAAAAATTCATAGGCAGAACTGGAGGTCCTTCAAGACTTAAGAAAAAGTACAAGATCAAATTCATTAAGGAGCAGTTTGTTTCCAAAGTTGCTGGATTTAATATTTATAGATCTTTGTATTGGTGGATAAAGCTGTGGACTTTTTTCTTTTTTTTTTTTCCCTAGAGATGTTAACACTGAACACAGTTCATTTCCAACTATTTAAAGTATAGTTTGCTTTTAAAAATGAGTCCTTTTAATCATAGAGGAATTGCTAATATGATGTATCAGTGTTGTTTCATGTCAGCTTGGAGAGAATGGAAAATTGTGGTTAAAAGAAAAAGTGGATAAAGGAGAGGCAACGTGCAGATAAGATACTTCAGTACATTAAACAGCATGTGTATCTTAGATCTCCTTAAGTATTGTACCTTATGAGCAGGTGTACTTCACCATCTTGGAGACCTCATGTAAAGTGAATAATTCTGACTGTGTATGTTTGGAGAAAGCTGTCCAGTTATGCTTGTGCAGACTAATCAAGGAAGATATAGAAGTTCTTTCCTTGTCGTCTGTGGTCGATAGCCCTTAAAGCAAGACCAAAATGATTGCACAGGCTCTGTGCAAAACCGTAAATACTAATCCTCCCCTCAGTGACTTTTAAAACTTTGGGTGTAGTCAGATGAGCTGGTTGAAAGGTTCTTGGCCGGCAATATGTCCCCATGCAATCTCCTATGGATTCAATTGCTCAAAGGATAGAAGTGTGGAAGGAAGCTGACATGAGTGAATACTTGAGACTGTTTAACAGGAGTGAATTGCCTTAAAAGCAGCTGCTAATAAACGACATGGTTTCATTTTCTGAAGAAGACAGAATCACAGTATTTGTTGCTGTACAAATAAACTTTTTCCTTGCTTGTAGACAAACGATATCCAGGTTTGTGTTCTGGAGAAAATGATTGGTGAAAAAAAACCACAGAAATTATGTGTCTATATTTAATTACCTCATTAAAAACTTGAACTTTGGAAGTTTAACTGCTTGGTGCTAGCCAGCCACATCTGCATGTGGATGCTAACATGGAGGTTAGTACTGATCTCGAGAGGAATGCAACATTCATGATTCTTGGGAAGGATAGGCAGCTACTATACAAGTACCTAAACAAGGAGTTTATAGAAGTAGATGCATTTGAATACATTGTCCTCACCATTGTTTAACCTGTTCCACATACAACAGTTAGAAGATAAAACTTTTAAAACTAGTTTCTGCTGAAGTACTAACAGTGTTATTTGACTTACTCTAAGGGGATGCATGCACTGTCTTACTCCACAGGGAAATGTGTGTATTACATCTATCCCATATTACTTATCTTAGTTTGGGTTTTAGGACAGCATTGGAAAGGGAAAAAAAAATAATATTAACATGTGAGGCAAAAGTACCTAGAAAAAAGGAATCCAATTAGATAAAAACTGTTATTTTTTTCCGGTATTAATGAGACCTGGGCAAATGCTTCCGGTAGACA